GCCGCCCCCCCCCCCCCCGGTGGGCAGACGCTGGGTGCCCGGCCCTCTTGAGTCACCACCCACTGGCTTAGCCCAGGGGCAACTTCTCAGATACGGTTGAGGGTCGGGGTCCTGGGACAGACCCCAGGTCACTGTTTGAGCGGCATCGAGGGGCCACGCGGAGAGCTTGGGAGGGAATCAGGGCTGGTGGATGCTGGGCCTCCCGAGGTGTGGGGCCTGTGTTCATGGTGGCCCCAAACACACACCCCTTGGCCTCTCCATTTCCCCCAGAACTCTTAGGCGTCGTCTCACACGACAGTCACAGTTGTGGGAGGTGGTGCAGCCTCAGCCAGTGAAACAGAGGCAGCAGGGCGAGGGGTCTGCCTGAGGGCCAGAGGCCCGTGGCCAGTGCTCTGCACCAGAAGTGGGCACTGTCCTGCACCTGTCACTCCCCGGACCCCACTTCAGCCACACTGTTGCTTCTCTTCTGTCACGTGGGTGATGCCAGGGGAGTCTTGGGGCTCAGCTCACACCCGAAGTGGGCGGTCCGGGCTCCCCCCTCTGAACCTGGGTCTCTTGGTCAGTGAAGAGAGGGTGGTGCCACCCAACTCCAGGAGCGTCCGCAGCCTCAGGAGGCGTGGTGCATGCAGACTAGTCTGTGGGCTGCCGGGGGCCCTCAGGTGCAGCCCTGCATCTTGCAGGGCCCCTGCTCCCCTGCTGGGGGGCAGTGGGCGGCAGGTCTGGCAGCCAGACCCTGGGCTGGGCAGCCGGGCTGTTTGAGCCCCGCTCCCTGCAGCCCAGGGTGAGGCGGGGCCCTGGGCACAGCGTCTGGACCTGGGCAGTTCTCGCCTGAGAATGTGTAACTTCCTCCCTTGTTTCCACGTGGTCATCCTACGGGGCCTGAGTCATGGGAATGTCCAGGTTCCCCGACTTTTCTGGTTTGGATAAAAGCCAAGAAACAGTGAGTATATAAAAGAGATAGAGGATATATGTGAGGAACAGAGCCACTCACATCAACTCATCCAAAATACTTTTTCCTTCTTAACTGTCCTTGGATGTTCTGCCCACAGCTGAGTGTCAGGTGACAGGACAGGACACTGGGTTGGGCACCGCTGGCTCGGGGGGCGGGGGGCGGAGGGGAGCACCCAGCAGCTGTCCTGTGGCACTGTCGCAGGTGACGCGGCGCACGGCCCAGCTGGTGGCTGAGTGGCAGTGCGTGGGCTTCTGCCACGGCGTGCTCAACACGGACAACATGAGTATCGTGGGGCTCACCATCGACTACGGGCCCTTCGGCTTCCTGGACAGGTGGGCATCCCGCTGCCTGCCAGGGGACCCTGGCGGGGAGGCACGTAACAGCACGGGCATCTCAAGGCAACGGGAAGGACCTGCAAGCCTGTGTGGCTGCTCTTGTTAATGTTTTGTTCGGTGTTTAATTCTCAGCAAGGCCTGGTCAGCCAGCCATCCCCAGAGCAGGAATCCCTGGAGGGTTCTGAGCACAGAAGCACTTTAAACAGCACCCTCTCGGCTCCCGGGTGGAGAGTGGGCTGAAGGGGCGGGCGCGGGGGCCGCACTGGAGCGCGGCCCCCCCTGCTCTAGAGGCTGCGGGGCCCCTGTGAGACAGGCAGCGGAGCGGCAGCCACCCAGGGCGTGCACTGTCGCTCGGCAGGTCCCCTCAGGCAGCTCCCGGCTCTCCCCACGCGGCAGGTACGACCCCGACCACGTGTGCAACGCCTCCGACACCGCCGGGCGCTACTCGTACAGCAGGCAGCCCGAGGTGTGCAAGTGGAATCTGCAGAAGCTGGCGGAGGCCCTGGACCCCGCGCTGCCCCTCGAGCTGGCCGAGGCCATCCTGGCGGAGGAGTTCGATGCCGAGTTCCGCAGGCACTACTTGCAGAAGATGCGCTGGAAGCTGGGCCTTGTGCGGGCTGAGCGGGAGGAGGACAGCGCCCTGGTGGCCAGGCTCCTGGAGACCATGCACCTGACGGGTGAGTGTGGGTAGGGCGCGTGCACCACGGCGTGGTGAAACAGAACGTGAAACCGACCTTTAACGTCTCGGTGGCTTTAAGCAACCGTCACTGCGTCTCCAGAACCTTCTCGTCTTCCCAGACGGACATCTGCACCTGTGAAGCACCAGCTCCCGGGCCCCTCCCCCCGCCCCTGGTAACCTCATGCCTGCTAAGAACTCGCCTCCTCCAGGGTTCCCGTTTCCCATCCTCTCCAGGGTGCCGCTCCGGCTAGGACGCCTGGTCCTGCGCAGCAGAAGTGGCCGAGCCGGCGTCACTTACTGTTCCTGCTCTTGGGGAAAAGCTCTGTCTTTCACACGAGTGTGATGCGAGCCGTTGGCCTGTGCACACGTGGCTTTTCTCAAGCAGAGGATGTTTCCTTCTGTCCCTCACTGGGTGTTTTCACACTGGGCCTCAGTTGACGTGATCGCCAGGTTTTACTTCCTCATCCATGTCCTGTCTTAGTTCAAACTGCCTCTCACGGTCTGGAAGCTGGGGGTCGAGGATCAGGGTGCCGCCTTCTGGCTGTTCCTCACACGGCAGGGTAGCAAGCAGGGGCACGACCCTCGTGACCTACCTCCCAGAGGCCCCCGCTCCAAATACCATCACCCTGCAGAGCTGGGTTTCCATATATGAATTCAGGCAGGGGACACACACACCCCTTGCATTCTGGAGATAAACCCTACTTGCTCCTTCTGGTGTTTTGCCAAGGTTTCTTTTACATCTGTATTTACAAGGGATACTGGTCTGCGGTTTTCTTTTCTTGTGCTGTCTTTGTTTGGCTTTGGTATCGAGGCAGTGCTGACCTCATGAATGAGTTAGGAAGCGTTCCCTCCTATTTGTCAGAAGAGTCTGAGAAGGACTGGTGTTAATTCTTCTTTAAATGTTTGGTAGAATTCACCCGTGAAGCTGTCTGGTCCTAACATTCCCTGTGTTGGGAAGTCTCCAGTCTCCTTACTTGCTATGGGACTATTTAGATTTTCTATTTCTTCTTGACTCAGGTTTGGTAGTTTATGTGTTTCTGGGAGTTTGTGTCATCTACGTTATCTAAATTATTATTCATAGTGTTTCCTTAGTCTTTTATTTCTGTACAGTCTGCAGTGACGTCCCCACTTTTATTTCCTTTAGTTACCTGTGTCTTTTTTTCTTTCTTAGCGTAGCTAAAATTTTGTCAGTTTTACTGATCTTTTCAAAGAACCAACTTTGGTTTCGGTGATTTTCTGTATTTCATTTATCTCTGTTCTAATCTCATTTCCTTCCTTTATGCTAACTTTGGTCTTATTTAGTTCTTTTTCTACTTCTTTAGATGTAAGATTAGATTATTGATTTGAAATCTTTTTTTACTGAGAAGTAACTGGCGTATAGCATCATATAAGTCTCAGTTGTGTGACACGATGATGTGCTGTATGTATATAACGTGACATGATCGCCGCACAGTTACAGATTTTCTTTTCTGGTGGTAAGAGGAAGCTGCTCTTTTAGTGCAGAGGCATCTACAGCTATAAACTCCCCTGAGCACCTGCTGCTGCTTTTGGTTCGTATCTCTCTTTTCTCATTTCCCTCGTGATTTCTTTTTAGGCCCAGTAGTTGATTCATTTTCACATGACTTGTGAATTTTCCAGTTGTCCTTCCATTTGTGACTTCATGCCATCGTGGTTGCAGAAGACACCGGTCTTTTCAGTGTATTAAACTGGTTTTATGGCCCAACATGTGGTCTGTCGTGGAGAACGTGCATCTGAGAGCTTGGGTGGAGTGTCGTGTCTGTTGTTCACGTTGTTTCCTTGTTGACCTTGTGTCCACGTGTTGGGTGGTGACGTCCCAGCTCTCACAGAACTGCCCGAGTCCACCCTTCAGGTTTGTTTGTTTTTAAACAAATGTAGTTGACTTGAAATGTGTTCGCCTTCAGTTTTAGAGTCTTTGCTTTGTGTGCTGGGGGCTCTTGTTTGGTGCATGTTTCTAATTGTTGCGTCGTCTTGCTGAACTGACTCATTGATGCATAACGCTCCTCTTTGTCCAGTTCCTACATAAGGTCTGTCTTCTAACGTCAGCACAGCCACCCCAGCTCTCTTTAGGTAACTATCCGTATGCAAATCATGGGATAGTTTTTCCATCCTTGCGCTCTTGACTTATGAGTCTACAGCGAGTTATCTTACTGTAGTTGGATCATGTTTTTTTCTTTATCCATTCTGCCAGTCTCTGCTCTTTGAATGGAGACTTTAATCCTTTTTTTTTTTTTTTTTTTTTTGGCTTGTGGGGTCTTAGTTCCCCAACCAGGGATTGAACCCATGCCCTCAGCAGTGAAGGCACAGAGTCCCAACCACTGGACCAGGGAATCCCCTAATGCATTTACTTTTGAAGTAATTACTGATAAGGGAGGACTTGTGCTGCTTTGCTCTTTGTTTTCTGTCATACACCATTTTTGTCCTTTATCTTCTCTGTTATTGCCCTCGTGCTTAGGTGGCCTCTCACAGTATATACCGTTCTGGTTTCCTTCTCATTTTCCCTTGTGTCTGTCTGTTTTTTGGATGTTTCCTTGGGGGTTTTGGTGACAGTGTTTTAGCAAGTCAGGCTGAGGCCCTCACAGCGTCTGTCGTGTGTCACGTCCTGTGCCGTCTCGACCCTGCAGCTCCTGAAGCAGGTGGTGCTAACTGCCGCGACAATGACGAGGGCCAAGGCCCGGCCTTGGTGCCTTCACTGTATTTACCCATCTTACAGATGAAGAAACCAGGCTTGGAGGCCTTGAGAGACTGACTCGTCAGGTTCAGAGTGGGGGCTGAGCTGGGAGGATGGAGAGGAGGGCTCAGGAATCCCCAGCCTGACGCTGAGCAGGGCACCGCACACGTGTTGGATGAACACGTATGGTCCTCTGGTGATGGGACGGTGCCCTGAGCAGCTGCGTGTTCCAGGTGCTGACTTCACAAACTCCTTCCACCTGCTGAGCTCCTTCCCAGCCGGGCCGGAGCCTCCGGACCTGGACGAGTTCCTGACTGCGCTGACTGCACAGTGTGCCTCCCTGGAGGAGCTGAGGCTCGCCTTCCGACCCCAGATGGATCCCCGGTGGGTACTGGGGTCTTGCTTCCCTAGCATTTGTTTCCGGAAAGGGAGGAACATTTAGAATGAAGCCTCTGGGAGGATGCTGGAGACAGAGTGCCCAGGCGGCTGCTCCAGTCCCAGGAGTGGGATGGTCAGACCCTGGCTCTGTGGCACTGATGCCTGCTGGTCAGAGGAGAGGATGGAGAGGCTGACACTGGAATGGGGAGGCCAGGCGGCACAGGCTGGGGCACGGCGGTCTCTGCCCTGGGGAGGCTCCCCAGGAAGAGCTTGGGTGTGGGCCCGCAGTCTCCAGCCAGAACCCATCACCAACGTGTCCCGTCCCGTGCCAGACAGGAATCTAGTGCAGCAGTGCGGGGAGGGGCTGAAGCTGGCAGGACCTGCTGAGCATGGAGCCAGGGTAACTGCGGAAGGGGGTGTCGGGGGCTGCCCTGCCCCCAGGTGCCCCCAGAGGTGGAGAAGCGTCCAGCCCTGTGATCACTGTGGGAGGAGCTGACAGCAGTGAACCTCTCCCAGAGGGACTGGGTCCTGGGTTGGGTGCCGGTGGGTGGCTGCCGGCAAGGAGCCGGGCCGGCCTGGGTCAGCCTGCGGCGTCCGTGTGCCCAGTCACGTGCAGGGGCTGCGGAAGAACAAGGGTGGACGGCTGGTAGTGGCCCCACGTCTGCTGCATCCGTCGGACCCAGGCTCACCCCTGGTGGGGCTGGGGCCAGGGCAGCGGCGGGGACGATGTGGCCTGGGGCCCCTCACGCGCCCGCTCCACGCAGGCAGCTGTCCATGATGCTCATGCTGGCGCAGTCGAACCCGCAGCTTCTGGCGCTCATCGGCACGCGGGCGAGCTTGGCGCGGGAGCTGGAGCGCGTGGAGCGGCAGTCGCGGCTGGAGCAGCTGAGCCCGGCCGAGCTGCACAGCAAGAACAGGAGCCGCTGGGCCGAGTGGCTCCTGGAGTACAGGTGGGCCCCCGCCCCCC